GTTAATAAAAAAAGACAAAAAAATAATTTCTGTTAGTAAAGTAGAGGAATGTGTCTGGTGCAAATGGTAAGTGGAACTGTCTGGTGGTGAGAAAGGAAAAGTATGGTAGAGGAGGTGGAGTATATTAAGAAATGGGAATTTGCTAGGGAAAAGAGAAAATCTGATGGGAGAAGGGAAAGAAGTGGAGAAAGTTTGTTTGGGAAAGGTAAAAAAGAGTAACCCTAAATATAAGATTTGATTTTCAAAGTCAAGAGAATTCTGAAAGTGTAATTTCAGAATAGAAATGATACATGACATCTTGATCACAAGCAAATGTGAACCATATAATCACTTAAATGCAGTAAGCAATAAGGCATACAAGAGAAACCCTTGGCTTTTAACAAAGCAATAAGGTATACAAGAGAAAGCCTTTGCTTTAAATAAAGCAATAAGGTATATAAAAGAAAGCTTTGGCTTTTAACAAAGTTTAAGATTACCTGCTAAAATCATCTAGCCGTTGGCAGTTGATAATCAATGCAGATATAAAGTACAGTAATCTACTGTAAAATAGAAAAATCCTCTCAAATACTTTTAAGCATTTGGACAGCTGCTGAAAAATACTTAAGTTAAGAAACCAAATCACTGATAATATACAATCACAGGGAAAAAAATAAACATGTGAGCAAGTTCATATAATAACAGAATCATGGAATATATTGTAGAAATAATAGCCCTTGTGGTTTAGCACTTCTTTTTGATTATAATAGTAATTGTAGAAATAAGGCATTTCTAGAATACATATCTAGGTTAAGGTAAGCACCAAAGCTAGAGGTAAACATTAAAATCCACCATGTCAATTACTACCCTGAACCTTGATATAAACATACATACCAGCAGCCAAATACTACCCCCTTCCCTCACTCGCTCATCCATACATTTTTTTTTTCTGCCTCTGTCCCTATACTCCTTTATATTAATATACAAAAGTGGTAAGGAGAAGTGCTTCTTTCACTATTAGTTATTTTTACAGAATTACACATGTTGCTGTGAAGTCTTTCATTATGTACATTACATCTATACATATGACTGGTTTGTTGAAAGACAGAAAGAAGATTTTTAAAATTAGTGAAATGCAGAAATGAATAAACACTTAGGTATTGTGCTTATTAAGTACATTCACAAGCATGTATGCATGTACGTCTACCTAAAGTACAGTACTGTACTTGAGCAACATGTACACATTTTGTGCATTTGTATATATGAGCTGCATATACAAAACATAAAGAACTAAGCAAAATAATAATAAGTATGTCAGAAACAAAAAAAACCACCATCTTTAACGGTGACTTAGATTAAGCATGTCAATGTTCACTCAGGTCAAGAATAAGGAAAAATGGCTGTGTCAGGATATAAAGAAAAATACACACTACAAGGTTACACCAGTCAGACTAAGACCTAGCAAAGGAAGAAAGAACAGAAATAAAAGAAAAGACAGAAACTGCAAAAGCTTAAACAATGAAAGACATGAAGGGTAAAAGAACATTTTTCTCTGCCAGCTCTGATTTTCCTTTTTAACACATGGGCACACTCTTCACTTTTTTGTTTCATGCATTTTTATAAATAATAATAACAATATAAAATTAATTTATACCTAAGTAGCAGCAAATATGAACCCCCCAAAAAACTACTGAAACAGGACAATGAAATATCAAACAGAAAGAAGAAAACAGTATTAGATGTTGACAAAACATTATTACACAGTATTATAATGTGTTAAACCTGTGAATGTCACAAGGAATGCTGAAGGCTCGATCCACTGTCCACTACCGCTGACATGAAAAAGAGCAGTAAGGCTAGACCAGATACATAATGACTGCCAGAGCTAAAAGACTAAGTTAAAAAGAGAGCTGAACGCATTAAACATTCTCTCACTGGCTGATATGATCAGAAAAAGACATGATAATCACATTTTATAAAGACTATCCAGGGATATGAATGAAATGATAAAATTTCCTAGTACCATTATGGGTTTTTAAAAAATGTGCAGAATTAACCAGTTATCTCGGAAAAAAAAAATTGGATTTCGATACAAGGTAAACTAGAAGACAAATGGAAAGTAGGACATACTATGAACTATAGACCTATCTGAATGCATTGTAAAAATAATGGAAAATCATGTAGAATAGCTAATAAAACACTTGCAGAGCAAATGTCTGCCATAAATGATATGGATTCAATCTGCAAAATTCTGTATGTCAAATCTATTAGATTATTTCAAAAGTCATAGAAATTATTTAACAGAAATGAATGGGTAGATTACATTGATTTAAAATTCAAAAACCATGAAAGACTAATCTGGAAGCTGCAAAAGACAGGAGAAATAAAAGTCAAACTTTCAAAGTGTTTAGGTGTATTTTTAGGTAATGCTTTAAAAAGCTGTTTACACCTTGCATTAGGCCAAAATTGGAATATGTAATGGTGGTGTGGTTTGGAACTTGAATGATATGCAGATACTGACATGAAGGGGTAAATGACAACTAAATGCAGAAGATACCTTAATTAACAACACTATTTTGCTCATGCAAGGGCTTATCAAACTACAGGCTTGGAAAGAGTCCCTGTATGAGAGAAATGTTATCATTATTAAAAGTATACAGGGTAGCCCAAAAAGTATACAAGATAACCCATAATAATAGTAATAGTCAAAACATCTCTACAAAATGAATTTCTATGCTACAATAAGAGTAAGAAGAAATTCTTGAAGCATTAAAATGCCCTTGTTGGTTTATAAGAGGAAAAGAAGAGACATGATACAGTAATCACATAAATGATCCTAAAAAGAGATGAGAAAAGGAGAGAGAAATTTCTCATAACCAGGAAGAACAAGGTTGATTGTAAAAAAAAAAAGTGTCAAAAGTATGCTAAAAAAAAAGTGGGTTGTTAGAAATAGTGGCAATGAAATCCAAGAGGAAATAATAAGTTCTACAACCACTGTATTTTTTTTCTTTTTAATTTTTTATTATAAAATGAACACTGAAAATGGAACTCTATTAGTGACACTTTACTCCTGTAATTAAAAAAAATAGGTACACACACCAACATGCACGAGTTTGAGTATATGTACAAGGAAAAAAACTACATGCGAGCAGTTTTCACTCAACAAATAGTGTCTTCCATAAAAATAACCACGTATTCTCTGAAAGCTAATCATATTTCCTGGAGGTTTTCTTTTTATGAAATGAAGTATGTTCTGGTTAATAAAAAAGGGCTTAAAAATTAAGGGAAAACTCTAAGTAATATCAAATTATTTAGAGATAAATATATAAGAAAAATCAACCTGATTGAGCAAGCAATCAAAAGAATTGCTTAGCTCTAGGCTGAGTTCCAAAAGTAGAAAAAACTCTCGAAATCAGTCACAGGTATACCATGTGATGCTGTTTATAAAAACTTCATGACAAACCTTGAAGAACTTAACAATTTGTTGCACCTGCTTTAGCTTTAAACTCCATTAACGCCTATCCTTACATCCCCCAAAGTGCAGGACTGTATGACCCATACAGGTTAAGATTTGCTGCTTACTTCATCATGTAATAATGAGTGGCCATTTGTTGACGGGAGTTAAAGAAGAGAGGTCAGAATGCTCTTTTCAACAAAATCATACCTTTGTAAAAATGTATCTTATTTCTACTCTAATACTTTTACATCATAGCATTCCTTATCACTCAGTAATTTTGAAGTTATTTCAGATAGGGTAGACTGTAAACTAACATTGTTTATCTGAAGAAAATAATGAACAGTGCACTTGTAACCACATATCAGCTGGTATCTATTTCAAACCAATTGTTAGAAAACTAATCTACAGATCTAAACTGGTAGGAGATGCAGCATAGCTACTTATCATCCATAGCCTTGTAAGAAACATCAACACAAGTTAAACTTAATCAAACATTCACTAAGAATTTGTTTCCTGATGTTTTGTGTTTGTTAAAGTTAATTTTTGTTAATCAAACATTCAGTGGGGAACTGCCTGAATATACAAATGTAACTCCTATTTGCACAAAAAGTCACATGCACACACATGAAATAAGTGTCATTGTTCTACACAAGAAAACAAAACTATTTAAATAACAATGGTTACAACAAAAAAGTGCTGAGTGCCATAACACTAATTCTGTAAACATGTAATTTTCATTAAGCTCATAGGCCCTTACTCACACCTCTTAAAAAATGTACTGTATACTAATTTTATAGATCAAGTAAAAAGTGCACAATAATAGCAAGATGTTCACTCAAAATATTTTCGAATATCTATCTCAAAAATGATTTAGTAATGCTTATCAACAATTTATTCTTTTAAGAATTTGTCTTGAATAAAGAATAAGTAAATTAGTTCAAGGTTATAATGGAGCTTTGCATGTCAGAATGTTGTTTTATTAATAAAAAGCACAGTTATCACCAGTACATAAAGGTCTTACTTCGTGACTTAAGTTTCACGAATCCAATATGGGCAGGAGACATAACTAAATATATGTCACAAGGAGAACACAAGCCTTGTCCAGAATACAGTGCAGTGTATAAGCAACAGAATATTTTTTTTTTCCATGTGATACATCTATTCATTAAATCATTTTGAAGCCAACCAAAAAAACTAAGCACCCGGACAAATTTTACACTTTTGATATATGGTATACTGTATTTACATGAAAACTAAATATAACACTGGATTTTTATTTTTCCTGTACTAGATGTCAAAACTCATTAAACATGCAAAAAAAAAAAATAATAATAATAAAATAATAATAATAATTATATATATATATATATATATATATATATATATATAATATATATATATATATATATATTATATATATATATATATATATATATATATATATATACATATATATATACATATATATATACATATATATATACATATATATATACATATATATATGAGTTAATGTCCTGAACAAGAAATGCAAACATGCCACACAAAGTGATGCAGATTCTCTTGCCTTCAGGAGTAAAACTTTGCAGCTGTAAATATGAACTATGAAGATAGAAAGGAATATCTGAAAAAAGGAAGAGTTTCTCCTTACTAGTTTTATACCTGATACAAACAAGGTAAATAATACCCCACATCTAAAACAGACAATAAAGTTACCTCACAATGAATAACTCTCTTTTATACATGCTTTTATATTAAGACTGCCAATTAAGTGTCACTTGTATACAAGTTCTGATTCCTAAAATATATAATACAATAACATAAAAAATCATGCAAAAACATTTGGTAATAAATGATTCATCACTTCAAACATGCACAAAAATGAAAGCAAATATAAAGTAGAAAGGCACATGGTAAACTGCCACTTCTAATAATTACAACTAAGTAATACTGTAATACAAAGAAAGAATCTGAAGTCTTAAACTGCCCACAGGACAGGTATGGAGTGCATAATAAAAGATATTAATCTGTCTTAACAATTAATCTGTGCACTGACTGCATCTTGGCACTATGTTATGACTTTCTTCAAGGTTAATATTGCCTAAGAAGACCAATTAATTGCATTCATTTTCATTTATTTCCAAGTAAACTTTATCCCTAACTGGTAATCTTATAGGATTAAATGAGCAGAAAAAATTATCAAAAAATCTCATGTAATGTTAAGCTGACCAACCACAGTGCATAATATAGTGATATTCTTCCCAATAATATTACAGATTAAATGGAAAGTCCTTGTATCACATTGATAACAAAAAATTCAAGTTTCTCTCATCATAGCCTACTTTTAAATTTTTGCACTTAATGTTTCTTCTGTATCTTCAAATACTTAATTTTTAACAGAAGTGCAAACCTGAGAAAAACAATGCCAGGGTATGAATATTCAATTTAAGAGATAGCATAATTTAATAATAATAATTATTATTATACTAGGTAGTAGGTTGGTAGACAGCAACTGCCCAGGAAGGTACTACCATCCTGCCAAGTGAAGTGTAAAATGAAAGCCTGTAATTGTTTTACATGATGGTAGGATTGCTGGTGTCCTTTTTTCTGTCTCATGAACATGCAAGATTTCAGATATGCCTTGCTACTTCTACTTACACTTAGGTCACACTACACATACATGTACAAGCACATATATACACACACCCCTCTGGGTTTTCTTCTATTTTCTTTCTAGTTCTTATTCTTGTTTATTTCCTCTTTTCTCCATGGGGAAGTGGAACAGAATTCTTCCTCTGTAAGCCATGCATGTGTAAGAGGCGACTAAAATGCCAGGAGTAAGTGGCTAGTAACCTCTTCTCCTGTATATATTACTAAATGTAAAAGGAGAAACTTTCCATTTTCCTTTTGGGCCACCCTGCCTCGGTGGGATACGGCCGGTGTGTTGAAAGAAAGAAAGAATTATTATTATTACTCAGAGGGCAGAAGAGTTGCCATTTAGAGAGAAAGGAGGACAATAGGATGACTAGGAGGACATATAAATCTGTGGTGGAAGGAGAGAGAAAGAGAGGTATTGAATGCTAGGGGCCTGGACATCCAGCAGGCTTGTGTAAGCATGTTAAGATTGGAGTGAGTGGAAGTAAGTAGTTTTTATGATTTGATGTGCTGTTGCAGTGTAAGCATGGTAACATTTATAAAAATATTTAGGGAAACCAGTTAGTCAGACTTGGGTCCTGGAGGTGCCTGTGCTTTGCAAGAGGGAAGGAAATGTTGCAGTTCAGAGGATCATCTGAACTATGATGTCAGCATGCCTCTGGGAAGATAGTGACTGAATGAATGATGGTGAAAGTTTTTCTTTGTTTTACTGTCACCCTATCTCACTGAAAGCTGGCCAGTATTTAAAAAAGAAATGAGATTTTATTATTCCTGAGTGCACTCTTACAAGAAATTCACAAATGCTCACACACCAAGCCATAAATGCATCTACAATGCAGAAGAAGAAACGAAGTTTATAATTAAGATTCAAGATAAATGATTCATTAATAATTCCTACATCTAGGCACCTTACTTCCCTTGAACAAGTATACAATTGACTGTTTTAGTCATAATCAAACACTACTTGTATAAACAAATTTTTTTTCAAAATTTCACCAAGCATAAGAGAAATGACAAGCAGTATAGAGAGAACATATTTCTTCATCATAGTTTTTTATGATACTTTCTGTTTTGATTAATTAAAAGGAGAAAAAAGTATTGTTTTTAATTTGAAACTTTTAACTGAAAATTTTTGATTCCCCTAAATTTGGAAAATTAATTTTAAATTCAGAATCTGTAACTGAATAGCACTTACCCAGAAATATAATATAGTATATACTCGAGTATATCCCAACTTTGTGTACAAGTCATCCCCTGACTGCTGCCAAACAAATCCTTACTTTTTCATAAATTTCATATATAAGTCTACCCTATTTTTTAAGTGACAGTGGAATAAAATTTGATAATTTAAAAATTCCAATGGGTGTTGATATTTTGTTCTGCACTAAAAAGATGATCTTAAATCTTAAGTTTTCTCTTAAGTTTAGCCTAACAAATATATATGAAGAGACTAAAGTGAAAAAGAATGCACTAATTGGATTGATGTGTCAAAGCCACTATGCTAAGGTCAAACGAGTAGAATGGCTTGACCATGTAAAAAACAAATGTAACCATTCAATCTAACAAGAATACAGGATCACTGCAACAGGCCTACTGGCTAAGACAGGCCCTCTATCCCAATCATATCTAAATAAACAATGTATAGTAGTACTCTATAGCATATACAGTGGTACCTCGAGTTAAGAACTTAATTCGTTCCAGAAGGCTATTCGAGTGCCGATAATGAATGAAGTTGTTCCCATAAGGAATAGTGTAAATTAGATTAGTCCATTTCAGACCCCCAAAAATACACTTACAAAAATACACTTACATAATTGTTTGAGTTGGGAGCTGTTTGAAACTTGAGGCACCACTGTAGTTAAAAAGTGCCAGTGGAATACTCAAATTTGTATGAAAAGCTTTGCAGTTTAATGGATCTGGCCCTTTTATTAAATCTGAACACTGCAACCTAACCTAATTATGCTGTAATATTTATCATCCAATAGAAATTAACGCAATTTATTATTATTAGTTTAATTTTTTAACATACCGGCTATCTTCCACCAAGGTAAGGTGGCCCCAAAAAGAAGAAACACTTTCAATCACTCATTCCATCTCTGCCTTGCCAGAAGTGCATCAAACACTGCCTGCACTTCCCACCTCCAGGACTCAAATCTGGCTAACCAGTTTATAAATCTATAGATATATATAAATATATAAGCATTATTTGGACTAGTGATGATATAAAATTCTATGAATAAAATTATGTCTTTCAAACTTTTGTTAACCCTCCCTCATGTCTTAACACACACACACTCATGTTTGCTTAAAAGTAAACAATCATTACAAATAATAATAATACAATTACATTTGTCCATGACACAATATAATCTGCACAGTGGCCTTCCCAAGACTGCCACAGTCCCAAGTTGTTAACGTCTGTTTAACCCTTTCACTGTCTCTCACGCAGATCTATGTCACATAGATCTATGTCGCATGGATCTATGTCGGCTTTGCTCGTGTAGATCTACGTCTTGAGCTCAGTTCCCTCAAATAAGCTTTGAGGCAAAATTTTGCCCCAGACATGAGAGAATGGATCTGTGTAATGAGTATACACAGTATAAAAAAAAAATCTTGCCCTGTGCAATGAATGAAGGGAAAAGTAAACTTCCAAACTTGTGTTTGGTTTAAAATAACAAACTATGGTACAGGTGAGATTAGAACCCATGGCAAGAGTGTCGTAAAACTCCAGGCCAGTGTGTAAGCCACTGGGCCAGCTGGCTACAATAAGATTCATCCAACTAGGTATGTTTATACACCACAGCACTGATGTCCATACAGGGGTAAAAGATATTGAGGAAACAGGAAAAATAAATGCAATAGCAGTGAATGTAGCTACAATAAATCCTAGCAAACAGAAGTACAATCTATGTAAATACTATGCCTTGGGTATCTGCAGGCACAGTATATCTGGTAAAACAGGTGGGACATGCACCTTTGACTATCCCAAAAAATGCTGCACCCACATGACAACAGGAGAGTGCAACTTCCTCTCTTGCAACTTATTTCACCCAGAAATGTGTCACTCATCAATCCATAAAAGAAAATGCTACACTGCATACTGTCAGGCATATCATCTAAAGGGGACTAGAAGACACAGACCAGCCAGACTATGGGAAACAAAAGAGAGGAACCTCAACCTCTCCAGGGACAAGGTTTTTTTTTAGGGCCAGAAGGAGAAAAAGACTGGCAAGAAATGACAATAGTCCTACACCACCTGAAAACACTTCTGGAGCAGAGGCACGTACATTGGCCTCTACCCCAGAACAACAGGTATTAGAGCCAGCAAATAAAACCCCCCTTAAATTCCACCAATACGACATTTGTCTTCGTAAACATACAGGGTCTAAAGCGTCAAAAAACAACAAAATTCCTTACATCAAGGGACTGCTCACGGAGTCAAATGCAATGTTTGCAGCATTCACAGAGACCCACATAAAGGATCATTATGACAACAAAATATTTATCCCAGGTTATAACCTATTCCGATGTGACAGACTAAACAGGCAACAAGGGGGGGATGGCCTGTATGTCACACAGTCACTCATTTGCACAGAATTACTAAATGATGTAGTTGAAGTTTTGGTGATAAAGATCGAAAACCAAAACCTTGTCATTGTGGTAGTATTTAAGCCTCCAGATGCAACTTCCCAGCAATTCCAGAAGCAGCTTGAGAAAATTGACCACTGTCTGGAAAATCTCCCAACTCCTGCCCCAAACATCTTACTACTAGGAGATTTCAACCTGAGACACCTAAAATGGAGGAGTATAGCAATCAATGTTTTAGTAGAGATCACCCCGGGAGGCAGCTCAGATGAAAATTCACACACACACACGAACTATTAAATCTCTGCAACAAATTCACCTTAAACCAGCAAATAGTAGAGCCTACAAGACTAGAAAATATGCTGGACCTCATCTTCACTAACA